TGTCCTCTGAAGATGCTGGCCACAGAGACTGGCGAAACATTAGGAAGAACCACCTTCAGAACACGGCCAAGAAGCCCGAAAAACCTACAACAACCATTGGATCCCGGCCGTGAAAGCCTTCGCAAATACATTAACATAGATGGGATAGAGAGTTATCCAGTGATCTATGCAGCTTCCAAAATTAAACATAATTATGTGAAAAATCTCAAGAAAGCAGAGATACTATTGTGAAAATATGGGAAGTAACAAAAATGGACATTCTGTCAAATGGGCTGAAATACTGTTCAATTCGAAAGGAAACTGATGGGATGTATTGTATAAATGGCTGCAGTTACCAGATAGTGTTGGAGTAACATAGAATTAAACTAAAATTAAATGATAAAATGAAAGCAGGAGGGTAATCAAACTGTGAAAAAGCAAAAAGTTGATTTGTTATTGTAATATGTGTTCTCCTATCCCCCTAACACTTTTTCCCTCTTCCCTATTTCCCCTTACTTTTTGTATTCCATACCCTATCCTTAAATAACTACTTTAAAAAAAGAAGTCAAAATGGGAAAGGAGTACAAAACGGCTTTATATTGTCCTCCTGCTTATTTAACTTATATGCAGAATACATCATGCGGAAGGCTGGACTGGAGGAATTGCCGGAAGAAATATCAACAACCTCCGGTATGCAGATGATACCACTTTGATGGCAGAAAGTGAGGAGGAATTAAAGAACCTTGTAATGAGGGTGAAAGAGGAGAGTGCAAAAAACGGTCTGAAACTCAACATCAAAAAAACTAAGATCATGGCCATTGGTCCCATCACCTGCTGGCAAACAACTGATTGGTTCAAAATTGGGAAAGGAGTACGACAAGGCTGTATATTCTCATCATCATTCCAAATTCCGTTCCTGTTTCCCAAGAGACTCCCCACCCTCTGATCCACCACAACATGTCCTCTCCTATTTCCTCCTCATGTTGTGAGTGCACACAAGAGTAAACGTATGTGCTCCTGACTGAAAATGGCATCTGGGGCTACACTCAGATTCAGGTGAGAGGAAGCAGACAATCCTGGCAATCTATGAACCGGAAGGGATGTCTCCTTTATCCCAGGTATGCCAGGTGAGTAGAGATGAGTGGCAGGCTGGCAAATGGGGTTGCCTGCTTCTCAAGGCACCAGCTGATGCCTCAGGAAGCTTCTCCAGGCCTCCTGAAGGGGAGCGCCAGGTCAGGGCAAGCCATGCTGGCGGAGGAAGCGGAGGAGGCTGGGTTTCTATGTGTGAGATATGTTTAGCCCACCAGCCCCTGGCATTTCCCTCCCTGGTGCCAAGGTTGCTGGGCTGCATTCCGAGTGTTTGGTGGTGCCACTTAGGCTGCAGGGCCAGCCTAAAAAGCTGGGCATTCGGTCCACTGACAACCAGTCCTCTTAGCTTCCCCCCTCAGATCAAAAAGCTCCCCTCTGACGCGTGAGCCCACGGCCGAGATTCTCACTCCCTTGGA